TGCCCCGGGCGGGGGGGGGGGGTATTTCTCACTTTCCCTGTCTCCAGGAGCATACACACCCTAAGGTAAAAACCTCTAAAAAATAAAGAAGAAAAAAAAAAGATGAATGGGCAAGAATTGAGCCTGCACATGGTATGAGGGCCAGGTCAGAAGAGCCAGCTGAGGTCTATGAGTTTAGACTTTAGCCTGAGTGATCACTGAATATTTGTAAGTAGGAAGATGTGATCTCACTTAGTGCTCCAACAACCATCAGCCTATGGCCAAGCCTGACTCATCGCTAGCCCACCCACCTCCCCTACTTTGAAGAAAATATATTCTCAGTCAATAGAGCAGTCCCCTCAGCACAACTAGATAAAATATAAACACATAGATACATCTATCGACCTATCTATCTATACACACACACACGAGGGGTTCTCAAAGGTTCATGAAAATGCGTATTAGGAAAAGAAGCACAAATGAATCTCAACATTTTTTGCACCAAAATAAACTCCTACTTCAATTCCATTTCTTTTTTTTTTTTTTTTTTTGAGGTTTTTGTTATAGGGCGTGTGCACTCGCCAGAAAAACAGAGACAGGGGGAGAAGGTGAGAAATCACCCCCCAGGGGGGATGGTCACGCCGCAATCCCTTCTCCTCCATTCTCCTCTCGGGATCTTGGGCACGCAAGCACACGCACCTGGCATGAGTTTAAGCCACCAGGTCTGGGACTTGAACCACGGTCAACTACATGGAAATCCAGTGACATAGCCATTATGCTAAATGCTGGTCCCTTAATTCCATTTTTTGATGAAATTTTCGAAGTCCCCTTCCCATAAATTTCTTAATATCATCCACTATACATTTGGTGTTGAACTTTTCAACCGTTTTATTAAAAAGGACATAACTGGGGGCCATCAGGTGACATAGTGGTTAGGACACTAGATTCCCACATGAAAGACCATGGTTTGAGTCCTGGACCTGGTGGCTTGAAAATCACCCTGGACACATGTGCATGCATGCCCAAAATTCCAGGAAGAGAATGGAAGGGAAGAGGGTGATTTTTTATCTTACTTTTCTTCTGTCTCTCTGGAGAGTGCATGTGCCCTATGGCAAAACCAAGAAGAAAAAAAACCTCCTAATTGTTTAGTTGTTTGTCTTTTAGACAGATCATCTGGGCACTAACATGAAAGGAGAGATGGGAACAGCAGATGGCGTAATGGCTACGTCATTAGACTCCCATGTAGCCAACCGCGGATCAAGTCCCAGACCCAGTGGCTTAAACTCATGCCGGGCGTGTGTGTGTGTGTGTGCGCGTGCCCAGGATCCTGAGAGGAGAATGGAGGAGAAGGGACTGTGGCGTGGTCATCCCCCCAGGGGGTGATTTCTTGCTTTCTGTCTCTCTGTCTCTCTCTTTCTGGTGAGCGCACACACCCTATAGCGAAAACCTCTCCAAAAACAGAAAGGAGAGGACGAGTACCCAGAAATGCATGCTGGGTGGGGAACCAGCAGTTAGCGTAATGGCTGTGTCGCTGGACTCCCACGTAGTCGACCGCGGTTCGCGTCTCGGACCCGGTGGCTTAAATCTCACGCCGGGCGCGTGTGCGTGCGTGCCCAAGATCCCAAGAGGAGAATGGAGGAGAAGGGATTGCGGCGTGACCATCCCCCCTGGGGGGTGATTTCTCGCTTTCTGTCTCTCTGTCTCTCTCTGTCTGGCGAGCGCACGCGCCCTATAGCGAAAACCTCTCCAAAAAAAAAAAAAAAAGAAATGCATGCTGGGGGCATGTGTGCATGCGCGCACCCAAAACCCCGAAAGAGGAAGGGAGAAGGGATTGTGGTGTGGCCATCTCCACAGGGGGCTATTTCTCTCTGTCTCTCCATCAAGCACACACGCCCTATAGGAAAAATCTCTCTAAAACAACTCTAGGCACTTCATGAGAAAAGCTGGACTAGGGAGGGGGGATGGAGGAAGGAAGCAGGGACCCAGGGCGAAGCCTACCCTGGGAGGCCAGTGGAAAGGTGACAATGGCAGCCATCTTGAAATTCACCACTTGCTGAAAGTCACCAGCCTCAAGTGGACCTTTCCTCACTCAGCAGTTGCCCCATGGTCCCTTGATAACTCATTCTCCACAAAGGTTTTCTTAAAACCTGTCCACTTTGTTAAAGCATCAGGCCCTGGCCCAGCAACTGGCATGGTAGTTAATGTGCTGGATTCCCACAGGGCTAACCGTTGTTCGAGTCTGGACCCTGCCGCTTGAAAATCACAACGGGCAGGTGTGCATGCCTGCTCCAACTCCCGGGAGAAGGGAGAAGGGAGTGTGGCGTGGCCCTGCCCAGGGAGATGATTTCTCACTCTCCCTCCTTCTATCTTGCTCCTGCGAGTGTAAGTCCTATGGTAAAAACCTTAAAACAACAACAACAAAACACAACTTCAGGGGACCAGCAGTTAGCGTAATGGCTATGTTGCGGGACTCCCATGTAGTTGACTGCAGTTCAAGTCCCGGACCCGGTGGCTTAAACTCACGCCAGGCGCGTGTGCGTGCATGTCCAAGAGCCTGAGGAGAATGGAGGAGAAGGGACTGAGGCGTGGTCATCCCTCCTGGGGGGATGATTTCTCGCTTTATGTCTCTGTCTTTCTTTCTGTCTCTGTTTTTGCAAGCGCACGAGCCCTATAGCAAAAACCTCTCCAGAAAACAAAAACAAAACAAAGCAAGAAACACAACTTCAGGACACCCCTTTTCTCTCAAAAAAAAAATCACCTTATTTCCTACTTGACCAAGAATAAAGAAGGATCACAGGAATGCTCTCATTTTCCAGAAATCAAACCTACAAACCTGGATATTTCTGCATTCACCCTCCTGCGGTAGCTGGCAGGCCTTCCCCTTCTAGGCTGCTCTGGCCCTGCTCACCCTGTGCTCTCCGGCAAGCTCATGTCTACACTCCGAAAGCGCCTGGAAGCAGCCGCCTTCCTTCCTTACACATTCACCTTAGAATGCCCTGGCCCCAGACGCCAGTATCCGGCTGCCCACCTGCCAGCAACCAGACGGCTCAGATCCACTTCAAACTGACCCACTAAAAGGGGACAGCAGCCCTTCCACCCCCGACCCCAGGCCAAGGAGAGCTGCCAGGCCTTCGGCCAGGGCACCGCATCGCCATCCATCCAGGTCTGGAGCCAGAACTTTCACCCCGTCCCTCTCCCCTCGCGCGCCATCACGCCCTGCCCTGCCGTATTACCTCTTCGGTCCCGTCCCTCCTGGCGTTCTGTGGCTCCTCCTCTGCCCCCATGCTCCCTTTCTGGCCCGATCCCTCTTCTTCAAGATCCAACAGTTCCTGCCAGGACGACTGCAGTAGCCTAACTGGCCTGCCCTAATCCGCTCCAGCCCCTGCTGGGAGGCTTTTAAAAATACAAATCTAGCCTCGACTCACATCCATTAAATCTTCCGACTGGCTTGCTCCACTTCTTGGATCAGGACAAAGTCCCTGTGAGGCTGGGGCTCTGCTTCCTCCGGCTCCAGCTCCAGCTCCAGCTCCCAGCACGCTCCCTGCGGGCCTCCCCTGCACCCGGCGGATACTCCAGCCCGCGTGCCCGCCCCAACCCGCCTGCCCGTAGCCCGG